AAATGCATAAAAAATGTTCTTTTTATATGTATAGAATAATTTTACTTATGGATATTAAAAAAAAATACACGTTTTTATATTAAGAATAATTTTACATCGACTCGATGCAAATATTATTTATATATTTGACTTCCATGGGCAGGCAAAAACGTTGTAATCAAATGTGCGAGTACGTGCAACTTATGGCATATGATTTACTACGTTTTAGTAAATATATTATTGGAAATATCTCGCCAGCTCGTACGTATTTATGATACAAGCACTAAATTGAACATACACAAGGCGTGCATTAAACTCTGTTTGAAAATCAATTCGAATCTTCAGCTTGTTGGTCTTGGTCTCTTATTCAAGCACTTAAATATGCAAAGACTTAGAAAGACACGACAGCAAAATATTTGTATGGGGAGGTCAAGGGTTAGGGGTAGTCGTGCTTATATTTTGTTTACTGCTTCTGCCATAAGTGCTTTTTAAGCTGACTAAATAATCGATGATACTCTTTATGTCAGTCTGCAAGTTTTGAAACATTTTTGTTGATTGCGAAATTTGTTGTTGCCAACAAGCACAAATCACAAACATGGTCGAAACTACGGCGCCCAAGAACCCAACAAAGTTTTCGGCGGCGAAAGGGGGACTACAATGCATACAGCTGTATTGACATGATAAACAAAATTGAATATTCTTCTTACAGAGCATTAACAGTATGAGTACTTTGATAAGGAATATGTATGATAAAGTTGTATAAGCACCAAAATTAAAGCATATTATTTGAAATTTTTTTTTTTTTAATCTTCTGTAAAAAAATAAACTTAATAAAATGTTTTTGCACACTTTTTTAATGCTTCCATAGCCAAATTCAAAGTTTATCAAATTGGCACAAGTCCCCCACGCTTTTAGTTCCCATAGAGTCCTTGGCTTCCGTCTCGTTTTTCTTGTTCTTTGGCGCAGTCCGAAAATAAAATCGGCTCTACCGCGGGCGGTCAGCCACATAAGGCGCATAAAATTAAATAAAAATCGTATAAAAATCCTTTTAAGCACGCAACGCTTCTCTGAGTCGAAAACGCCTTTGGGACTTTCGCCGATGCAGCAGCTCAATAAAAATAAAAAAGTTAAGTGAAAAAAAACCGGAAATATGCTCAAGATTTTGCAGACCACGCTTTGTGGCCAATACTTCACTTTCCTCTTATTTTCAATCTTTTTGCTGACCCTTTTACAGCTTCGCCTCCCCCCTTTGTCTAGAGCAATGTCTCGTTTTTTGTTGTTTACGTTGTTTTCAAGCGTTGTCTGCCTTGGTTTAACTTTGGAATATTATCGTTCGTAACCTTTTTTGTGAGCATGACAGACGTAAAGCGGATTATACTTAAAGAATTCCGTTTTACTTATTATTTATTTATGTAGCCGAATCAATTTATGAAATTGCTTAAAATACAAAGCTTTTCAAGCCATTTGTGCTTATTTAAGATATAAATAGAAATATGTTTTTATTATTTAATAGCATTTAAGTAATTATTGAAAAAGCATTATTATTACTTTTGCTTTTTTTTTTTACTTTTCTACACGAAAAACGCATTTTTCTTGAAATTTACACAACCTGAACTACTTTTTTGTTTTGGTTTTTGTTTTTGTGTTTTTTACCTAGCCTATCCGCAAATTCCATTAGTCGGTAAATTCTTGATAAAGTTGGTGGCGGATTTGTCGGTTTTATTTAGACTTTATTTTCTTAGTTTCTCAGCTAACTGCTTAATGCAACTTTGTATCCATTTTTTATGAGGTGAAGAGAAAGAGCTGGAGAGCTAAAAGTTCGCTGTCTATGCTCCTCTTGTGCCGCTTTTTAGTCCCGTTCGCTGTCGAAAAATTGATTTATTTTCCATGTTTCTTACTGTTTCGTCTAGCTTTGGCACTTTTCACATATATATTTTTTGCATATGCTTCAGACTTGTTTGTTTAGTCTTTAAGTTTTTCACAACTTTTGACTCGGTGTACTTAAAATTTACATTGCAAGCGGCTTATGAAAATGTCCTCAAAGGACTTTCGACATGTTCAATAGCCGCACAAAACGCGAATCTGCTTTTAACTACTTTCGAGAACGCGATACCAAAAAAAAAAAAACAACAAAAAAATTGATTTCTTCCTAACAGGGCGGTTGCGCAATATTTGCGCATTTATCTTCATTTTCGCATTGTTTTCTTATTTGTTCGCCAAGCTTTTATGTTGCCCTTTTTTACGCGTTTTCCGTTAATGTGCACTGCGGTTGTTTACGATTCCATGCCACCTTTTGCCAGCCACCCCCCTGTTTGGCCAAAAGCCGCTGATCTGATTTCCGTTTCCGTTCACACGTACACAAAAAACACACACACATATACGCATAGCACCCCAATGTTTAATGTATCCCGCTGTCTTTGCGAAGTGTCGCCTGCTGAACACAGAGTATTGTAGTTTATATTTCATGGCACACTTTTTTATTTACTCGACTAAGGGATACCCTAGAGTCTCAGCGAAGAGTAAAAAGAGATGAATACATTCTTATAACTTCCATTTTAACTAGCTCTTTGTTCAATTAGAACTCTTTAAGTAATATAAATATTATTTTAAATTTTATTAGAATTTTGACACCATCTTTAGGCTCAGTCATCAGTTTGTTTCCCATATACCCTATTTGCTTTTGTTATATCTATATTTCCTTGTCTCATTTTTTCTCATTTTGTGTTACACGTGCGTGGACCATTTAAATGGGAGTATACAGCATAAAGCATATACCGAGCCAGAGGTTTCAGGCACTTATTTTCAATTTAAGAAATGCAAATACACATAAGCAGATTATGCTGATGAGCAGCAGCTTAGTATTGCCAAATACATGCTCATAAATGTGTGTGTGTGTATACAATTTAATTTTCTGCTCATATGGAATTTTCTGTATGTTTATTTTTTATTTTATAAAAGCTAAGCTATTGGTTAAAATTGTTTGAGCTGAAAGTAGATTATCTTTCAAAGAACTCTATATGACTAATCAGGAAATTTAAAAAATTTTTAATTAGCCTATCTGCCTACTTTTGAGTGTAGCTTATTTTATTTTCTCTTAAAATTGCATTGCCTACTTCGGCGCTAATTGTATTCCTGCTGTTAAAAACTTCTATGGAGCAGCATATATTTGCGAAAAAAAAACACAAGTTTAAACCACTGTCAAAGTCAATGGTAAAACTTTTCCGTCTGCGGTCGCTATTTGTTGTTGTCAATTTTATTTATATCAATAAATAATTCATAAATTGGGCGTGTGAGGGAGAGGGGGACACAGACTCACACCCAGTTACATGTGTCGTCAATGCCATGCCATATTGAACCAAATATAAACGCATTAAAATAAATCCGAAAAATCCTGCCACACACACAGACGCACACACACGCACAGCTTGACAACGCCATGAAAGCCACAGAGAAAGAGAAACAGGCGACATGCGACCGCATTTCAAATTAGCACACACCAAACGAATTTTTCGCAAATACACAGCCACACACACAGAAGCACGCACGCACACTTTGTATGTACATGTATTTCGTATTTAAAGCCAGATCGCAAAGTCAAAAAATGCCGCCACAAGGCGCATAAATACAAATATGTATAATGCAATATAATAAACGTCAGAAGCAGTCCACAAAAAACTACGCAGTCAGCTGAGTGTGCTGAAGGGTAAAATCTTAACCAGGCCAACATGCATACACCCACACACCCGCGCACACAAACACACACACTCAGCTGAAGGGTGGATGCTGCGATAGCGTTGTGATAACCCTTTTTAACTTTTTGGCTTACACTCTGCGGCGGGCATTGCCAAAACTGAAGTGTATATAAATACATGCACGCAAATATTTATACACAAGCATATTGCGTACTTTGTGCGACTTTATGGAGTTAACCAACTTAAATCCAATTTGGCTAACAAGACATTGTCAGTGAAGGCAGCAAACACAGCGGACTATTCCATTAAGCTAAGCCGCACAAATCGGGCAAAGAATTACGAGAATTTTCTGATTATAAAATCCCCATCAATTATTTTGTATTTTGGGTCAAAAATGTTTCATCTCTGTCAAATGAAAAGCAAATTTGTTTATCATGGTTCGAACACTTGATGTTGGCTTTTTAATTTTGTCACAAAATGGAAACTGCTTTAAGCAGACAGCTGGGGTATATATAAATACATATATATATATATATATATGTTCCTGAGCTGCGTTAACAGCTCTGTCAATATATATTTGTTGATAAAACTTTACTTAGATTCGTCTTTTCTCTAATCCGATATCAAAATATAAAAAACCATTTAGTGTAGGTATAGAAATATATTAATTAAGGATGTATATTACATCAGCCGAAGATCATATTAGATAAAATTATTCAGAAAGTAACTTTGATAGCATATACAAATATCTTATTTTGATAAAAAGAATAAAACTACGAGTATTTCTGCATTTGTTCGCTGAATATTGGACAATATAAGACGATATTTAATAGAGTACAGGGAATCCTCAGGACGACAACTTTTAAAATAATTAATACTAATTACAAAAACATGAACTAATATTTAACCATTCCATAAAAGAAATTGAATATCAAAAGCCAACGGACCTCCAAAAGCCAATTGGGGCTGCTTGAAAAATTAGCATGTAGGCGTTGCTTGACTCCTTGTTGGGGCAGTCAATCGACCACATTTAATAAATAAACCCGCCGCTAAAGCTTATGCTCATTAGTTCTGCACAGGGTGGACTGTCACATGGCGCCATTCTGTCAGCTGCTATTCAAGGATAAAGGCTGAGAAACTGTTTCAAGAATGCCAGCACATGACAGAATATGATGTACGAATAAAGCACAAATATGACAGAGAAATAACCTAATGAAGCTGATATTAAGCATATATTTTAAATAGAAATATCTTTAATTAATTTCTAAAAAGGAGGCTATAATCATTCCTTCACTTCGATTTTAAGGAAAACAAATATCCCACAGCACCTTTTTAAATAAAAAAAACACTCTGAATTCAAAGAAACTTCAATTTTATGGTATTTGCCAGAATCGCAATTACCCGCCTTATGTACATAACATATTTATATATTTTCAAAAGAGTTCTTAAACTTTATAATTGACAATGACGGGCAATAGGATTTGTGGAGCAGTGCCGGCCAACACAGAGCGCTTAAATAAACGCAATACGAGACCTTTTGTAATTAGTGCCAAACGATTTAATGCCATATTGGCCAGGTCCGGTAAGGACCAAACACTAGACGAGTCGGTAAATGAGGAGTATCGCTATAAGCAATATCTGAAAGAAGGCAACGATGCACTTTGCAAATGTTTCCCAATGAAAACAACCCTATTGCCAGAAGAGGAGGACCAAGCCAATTTTTATGAGATGAGTAGAAAAGTTTTAGAAGGTAGCAGAGAACAAGAATTACATCAGCAACAGCTACGCACTGAACGCATTGTAAAAGCAAATAAGATACTTGAAAGCCTAAAGCCCTGTCAAAGAGCTCTGCGCCAGGCACAGGTCGAGAGCGAGGTGATCTATCAGCGGAAATATAATGAAGCCCTCAATCAGGAGATATCTGTAAATGCCCGGCAACAGGAGCGTCTAGATGAACAGCAGTGTCCGGAAAGATTGATACCCTTTTGCAATTTCACAGAGCAGCAGCTTAAGGCTCAGCAGCAGGAAAAGTCCGTCACCGTGCGCAGGCAATTTCTCAAGGATCTCGAAGAGCGGCAACAACGCAAATTGGCTGAAAAGGAACAAGAGATATACGAGGGAATTATCGAGCGTGAGCAGTACAAGTGCCTGCAGAAGAAAGAGGAGCAGGCAGCCAAAGAGCTGGCAGAAAAGAAACGCGAGTTTTGCCGTCGTGCCTATCGGGAATCGCTCAAGGAAAAGGCCGAGATCAAGAAACGTAAGTTCTGCGAATGATTTCAAAAGGTTCTGCTAATTGCCACCAAACCAACCAATAGACGAGCGCATCTGTGAGCAAATTGAGAATCGCATCATTTGTGTAGATGTCACGAAGCGTCGTTACCTGGAGGCGCGTTCCAACAAGGCATTCAAAACGATGCACACGAGGGTTATGCCCGAACGTGATGCTTGGTCCAAGCAGATCTGCCGCATGGAGCAAGCGAACACACGGAAAGCCCAGGACTTGCAGGAAAAGCTTAAAAATCGCTATGAGTTCGAGGTAGAGATAGATGAAGCCCGACGTCAATGTCAGAAGGAGGAACTGTCCAATCAGCGTCGTGCCTACGAATTGGAGGAGCGCAGGCAGGCTGAAGAGCGTCGTCAACGGGATGCGGAGATTCGTCGATTTGCCATAGCTGATCGCTTAAAGAACCAGGAAACCAATAACCGATTCAATTCCACAGAAAAAAGGCGCAAAGATAAGGCGACTGCTGACCTACGTGACCAACTCCATTGCCAGCGGGACGAGTTTCAGGAGCAACGTAAAGATCAGCAAATGCGCATCTCTGCTTGCCAACCCGATCTCTATTTGCAACAAGATGTGAATTTTTACGACCAGGCGCTTAAAGTGATTTCAGAGGCGCATGAGAATGGACGACCCACTCTCCCCATGGTGAAGGCAGTGGAAACTTATCGACGAGACAACCAGATAGAGATGATTCCTGAAAGTCGTACTAATCGTAGGAGCAGAATACGAGACTATTGCTGGCCAGGCTACCACTCCAAGGCGGATTTGGCGTACAAAAAGTACGAGCAGCGGGAAAAATGTCAAAGAGACCAGGCGGCGGCTCAGCATCAGATTTTGATGAACTGCATCAAAATTAATAAAATAGCTGCCGAGGAACGACCATGTAAAGCCTCTGTTCCGGAGAGCCCTGTCAAGTGCTTTCAACATCGCGGCATGCCTGCCATCGAAAGTGTGGATTCCTTCGATTGTGGAAGCAATGTCTGCTACGCGGATGATCCTCAGCCTGGTCCTTGCCCAAGCGCCTTGGAGGTTATGAGGACTTGTGACACAAATCTACAATCGATAAGGCCTGAGGCTGCACCCTATATAAGTGACACATGTCCGGGTTCCATTGAGGGGAATGTTCTAGCAAATACATCAAACGCTAAGCTTAAACCCCATCATGGACAGGCGGGCTCAGCTAAGGATTCAGAATCATCAATTCATTCGAAACGCACAAGTTCGATAAGCACAAATAATTCATCGAGCCCGAATCACTCGGGCACACTCAGAAAAATGCATCAAGCCAAAAAGCACAAAGCACCACCTAAACAACCCAATCAAGCTCGCATGTGGCGTTGAAATTGGTTTTATAATTGGAGTGCATTATCGAAACTGTATTCCTTCTTTGATTCTTATTTATTCGATAAATATTTTTTTAAAAATGTCTTTCATATATATACGCCTGTATGAATGCATTCAATTCATCTCAACTTTTATATATTCAGCGACATAAGTATATTTGAATGGTTAAAGTGATATAAGATCTATAAATCTGACACAATTTTCGTTTTTCAATTATTATCGATTATCAATATACATTAATATGTGTTGCAATTTGCAATTTGCAATTTGCAAATTAGTTAAAACTCTGTCAATGATCTAAACGTTCATATTTTCTAGAGCTAGGAAATAATATTCTTCAAAAATGCGATAGGTGCTCATTTATTATAGCGTGTACCTATTGAAAATTGATTAATAGGATATAATCTTTTAGGTAACAGAAAGTAGGGGCTATCTTCGATCTTCTTGATCGACATCAACAGCCAAGTTGATTAAGCCGTATCTGTGTCTTTCTGTCCGAATACATAAACATGCGAGTATCGGGAAATGTAAGAAATGCTTGAAATGTTTGTCCTTCTATGGAATTTTTACCTAAATAAAAGCCCTTATTGGGCCATTCGTGCATTGATAGTTGCTTGTATGTCCATTTGTTGGAGTTTGGAAATGAGCGATGGCTCTTGTCATGAGCCTCCTGATATCCTTCAGGGATTGTAGGTGGTATGTTCTAAACGTTTTCTTCCTTTTGTTGTTTAGAGCCATACACGTGTAGCGTGTACTTTTCTTGCTCCATCTGGCTTCTGCATATTGCATTGAATGGGATGCCAAGGTTTTCTGCGATTATTCGGCGAATTTACATCCTGTTGTTGGAGCGGAGGTCAGTTGTTCTCCTGCATTCAGCCAGTTTTTCATCGGGGTATCGGATTCTAATCCTTGATATCACTATGTTTTATAAGGCTAACGTGTCCCGAGCCCACGATGACCGCCGACTTTGTGCTCTTGTTGCAGTCGAACACAATTAACTTCTTGTTCAGCTTGAGCATAAGGATTTAATAGATGCCTGGCGTACAGAGTAATTGTTTACTTTAAGAACATATTCTAGTAGAAGGCTATTGCTTTAACTTCTAGAATAAACAGAATTATAATAAATACATAAATACATACAACATACTTACAATTCAAGGGAAATCCACAAGCTTCCCATTAATACAATTCACGAATATCCAAACTTCATACTTAATAAACTATATACATGTATATATCATATACAATTAATAATGAAGCTGAATAAAGTATGTTTTGCCCAGCCCGGCCATGTGAAATTCATAAATAATCGCAAGGTTTTCCCCGTGGTTCTCAGTGCCAAGCGCTTCGATGCCATAATGGCCAGGTCCCTCATGAAAAAGAAGAATGCAGCCCTGGCCGCAGAGGAAGAGGATATGCGTTACATGAAATACCTGAAAGAAGGCAGCGATTGGCTTTGCAGCCTTTTTAAAAACGATGGGCACCAAGACTTGGACGAGGAAAAGAAGGCGAGACTTGATCAGGAACTGATGGAAGCAGCAATCAGGGAAAAGCAGGTTAAATATGAGGATGATTTGCTCCGGAAAGGACGCATCATTCGTGCTAATCGAATATTGGAGGATATTAAGGACGGTCAACGAGCATTGCATCGTGCGGTAGTCGAGAGCGAAGTGGTATATCAAAGAAAATACAACGAGGCTGTCAACCGTGAAATTGCCGAAGACGCTCGGCGTCAGAAGCGTCTGGAAGATGAGACCTGCCCAGAAGTATTGATACCATTCTCCACCATAACAGAGGAGCAGCTCAAAGCCCAGGAAAAGGCGAAGGCGCTAATTGTGCGCGCCGAATTCCTAAAGGACTGCAAAGAGAGACGCGAGAGGAAATTAGCCGAAAAAGAGCAAGAGGAATGCGATACTATTATCGAGCGTGCGCAGTACCAATGCCTGTACGAGAAGGAACAGAAGGAAGCCAAGGAGCGGGCCGAAAAGAAGCGCGAATTTTGCCGTCGTGCCTACAAAGATGCGCTCAAGGAAAAGGCAGCGATCAAAGAATGTAAGCTAACAGCGAAAAACTTTTCCAATAATAATCACCAAATCAACCACCAGTCGAAAACACCTGCGATAAAATTAACGATCGCATCATCTGCGCTGATGTGACAAGACGCCGCACTCTGGACACGCGCTACAATAAGGATTTCAAGGCGATGATAGCGAAGAGAATAGGCGATCGGGAAAATCGGGCTATACAACTCTGCCGCCTCCAGCAGGAAAAAAAACGCCGGGCCCAGGATCAGCAGAAGCATGTAGGGGCACAATATGATACAGAGGTCCAGATAGACGAAGGACGTCGCCAATGTAAGATAGATCAGCTGTCCAAGCAGCGTCGTGCCTACGAGCTGGAGAACCGCACGCAGGCTAAGGAGCGACGCGAACGGGATGCAGAGATTCGCCGCTTTCAAGTTGCTGATCGACTTAAGACCATGGAGACCAACAAAAGATTCTCTGCTACGCAGAAACGCCATAAGGATCAAGAAACTGAAAAATTACGGGACATACTTTTTGGTCAACGGGATGATTTCCTGGAACGACGTCAGCAGGAGCTAATGCGAATGTCTTCTTGTCAAGCAGATCCTTTCATAAAAGAGGACGTGATGTTCTTTGATGATGCGCTCAAGGCAGTTGTGCATGCGCGCAAAACGGGACGTCCTGTTTACCCGATGGCCAAGGCTGTGGAGATCTACAGACGCAAGAACCAGATTGATGAGGTTCCCGAGGGTCGTATGGTGGGCAGGAGCAGAATACGAGACTATTGCTGGCCAGGATTCTACTCCAAAGCGGAATTGGCGTACAAAAATTACGCGCAAAGGGATAAGTGCCGCGAGGACCTGCAGCAGGAACGCAATCAGATATTTAACAACTGTATCAAAATCACCAAAATAGCTGCCGAAGAGCAGCCGTATAAAAAGTGCGAAATGGAGTGCCCTATAAAGTGTCTTCAGCACCGCGGCATGCCTGCCGTCGAAAGTGTCGATTCCTTTGATTGTGGAAGCAATGTCTGCTACGAGGAGGATCTTCAGCCTGAGCAGTGTCCAGTTGCTATGCAGGCTGCGGAAAATTGTGACGAGAGTCTTCGATCGAATAAGTCGAATGATTCAATTAAAGCACATTGGAACTCTCCGGAGTCAAAAGAAAGCCCATTAAATAGCTCAAGCTCGATGAAAACTATTGTCGCAGTTAATCGATGCAATTCAGATGAAAAATTCAGCAAACCAGCCGATCGTAAGCGTATTTGGCGTTAAGATTCTAGGATCTAATCAGCAAAATGTAATGAGACAGCTTACAAAAATCACGTTGATGCTTAGTTTATATAGGTTGAGCGATTCGCCCCATTAATTATTATCAATTGAAAGGATTTGTCATGTAACTGTTATTAGGAGTTGTAGATATATTAATATTTGAGAGAGTAAAGTAAACTTAGAGCAAAAGATATTGAATTTGTATTTTATTTGGTCTGTTAAACCATCTTAGACGCCGGATTTTAACACTATATCAATGCTTATTTAATATTCAAATAATTTGATGTAAACAAGGTGGCAAAGCTGAAATGTTAGCTGAAGCAACTAACCATAATATTTTTAAAGGATAATGTGCATTAACTTAACTCTATTCGGAGCTGAGGGGCAGCGCTTAGATGTTGCTGCTAAATATTTAACATCAGCAACTAGAGCAGCTAATAAATGTTCTTGTTAATAAAGTTGATGTTGTCTTTGACACACAAATAAGAATAAGGGAATAATAGTTCCCATAGTTGTTACATGGGAGACAAAGAAGCTAACAACGTTATTTGAAGCTGATGCGTATATCGTAATGTGGCAACGCTTTATTGTTGCTGTTAAATATTTAACAGCCAGCTGATAAGAAAGCAACTAAGACAATATATGTTAGGGACAATGTGCTTGACAACAACTTAAAGTGGTTATTATCTTTGACACACAGATACGAATAAGGGAATATGAATCCACACAAACACAGTAGCCCATGGTGCTGTCAATACATTCCATACTTAAGGAAACATACACAAACAAACAAACAAGAAACAAACAAACAAAGACACACAAACAACAGACACCCACAGAGAGGCATCACAATTAACACACTTCTTCTGCACATCGATAGAATTTCGCGGTACTCAACACGTAAAAAAATCACAAAAAATAAACATGCTGAGGCTGAAATTAAACAAGGCGTGCGTGGCGCAACCCGGCCACACGAAGCTCATCAGCAATCGCTCGCTTCAGCCAGTTGTGGTGTCAGCGAAGCGCTTTGATGACATCATGTCCAGGTCAACTATGGCACAGAAGCAAGCTGCTCTGGCTGCGGAGGTCGAAGAGCGTCGCTACATGACATACCTCAAGGAGGGTAGCGATTGGGTCTGCAGCCGCTTCACGGGTAATATCTCATTCGAAGAGCAGAGGCAAGCGAAAATCGATCAGGAACTAAACGAGGCTGCAATCAGAGAGAGGCAAATCCTGCTCGAAGACGAACATGTGCGCATGCAGCGCATCATGCGCGCTAGCCAAATACTGGAGGAATTGAAGCCGGGTCAGCGAGGTCTGCGTCACGCCGTGATCGAGAGCGAAATGTTATATCAGCGAAAGTTCAATGAAGCCCTCAATCGTGAGATCGCTCAAGAGGTTCGACAGCAGCAGCGTTTCGATGAAGAACAGTGTCCAGAGCGTTTGATACCGTTTTGCAATGTCACTGAGCGGGAGGGAAAAGCCGGTGAAGCGGCGAAAGCGGTCGAGTTACGTGCCTATTTATTGAAGGATCTGGAAGAGAGGCGACTGCAAAGATTGGCCAAAAAGAAACAGGAGGATTACGACGTAATTATAGAGCGCGCGCAGTACAAGCTTCTGCACGAGAAGGAAAAACAGTCTGCCAAGGAGCGCGCTGAAAGAAATCGCGATTTTTACCGTCGTGCCTACCAAGATGCTCTCAAAGAGAAGGCCGAGATAGCCAAATGTAAGTTCATGGAGCTAAGCTAAATACAAATCTCACTGACTACCACACACCTCTTCCATAGACGAGAGTATGTGTAATGAGATCGACGATCGAGTCCTTTGCGTTGATCTCGTAAAGCGTCGCAAGCTAGACGCCCAGTATGGTCAACAAATCAAGAAGATGCGTGACAAGCGAATACTCGAGAAGGAGGCGCGCGCCGTGCAGCTATGCTACCAGGCGCAGGCGGACAAGCGCCAGGCTCAATCACGTCAAGTCCAAGTTATCAATCAACATGATGAACAGGTTGAGATGGACGAGGGACTACGCCAGTGTAAGTCAAATGAGTTGTCCCAGCAGCGTCGCGCTTACGAGCTGGAGGATCGCAAACGGGAAGAGCTGCAACGCCAGCGAGATGCGGAGATTCGTCGCTTTCAAGTTGCTGAACGATTCCGGAACGCGAAGGCCAACAACTTATTCAATACAGCCCTGAAGCAGAATAGAGATGCAGAGACTGCAAACCTGCGGGACATACTCTATGGCCAGCGGGACGAGTTCCTAGCAAAACGTCAAGAGGAGCAATTGCGCGTGTCTGCTTGCCGAGAAGATCCTTATCTGCAGGAAGATGTTTTGTTCTTCGGTGATGCGGTTAAGGCGATTAAGGATGCTCGTAAAATGGGACGTCCTATTTTCCCGATAGCCAAGGCTGTGGAGGCCTACAGACGCAAGAACCAGATTGATGAGGTTCCCGAGGGTCGTATGGTGGGCAGGAGCAGAATACGAGACTATTGCTGGCCAGGATACTACTCCAAAGCGGAATTGGCGTACAAAAAGTATGAGCATCGGGAGAAGTGTCGCCAGGAACAGCAAAGGGATCGCAATGAGATATTTAACAACTGTATCAAAATCACCAAAATGGCTGCCGAAGAGCAGCCGTACAAAAAGTGCCCTGTGGGGGGTATCATCAAGTGTTGCCAACATCGCGGCCTTCCTGACGTCGACAGCATCGATTCCTTCGATCGTGCTAGCAATATATTCCACGAGGAAGATGCTCTGCCTGATGGTAATCCAACTGCTATGCAGCCTGCAAAGTCGAATAAATTTTCTCAGCAAAACAGTGCACACTTGCCAAAGCAGAGAAGTAGTCAGAGAAACTCCAAAGGATCCAAACACAGTTCCTTGAATTCGAATATTTCTAAGCAGGTCTCGAGCCAAAAGCTAGTTTGCAATCCAAATTGTTCGGGTTCGTCGAGAGAAATAGCTGGGGCTTTCCAATTAGGTCACAAGCCACGCAATAGAAAACCACTTAATTCATCTAAAACATGTTTATCTTGACTCTAAGGACTTGAACATTCCAGGTCATTTGAATTAAATCATTACTGCAATTACTGAATACTCAAAGATGCCACAAAGATGCATCAAAGGAGCAGGCCAAAATATATCAGTTAACTGATATGCAAAATCATACTAAGAAGGCGAAATTCAAAACTTTCATAGTTTGTGTTTCGATTTTTACTGGTGATCTGCACTTCAAATGTGATTCATATTTTGAATTATTTAAAATGTAATTGCCATAATGTAACTAAAATTTGTGATAAATTTTCTAGGAATTGTGAATAAAGAACATATTTTGACAGCATGTGGTTTACTGGAAGAGAGAGTACAAAAAGTATTGATGACTTAACAAATATGAGATCTAACTATATAAAAGTTCCAAGACTTAAGACTTAGGCATCATTTAAGAATTTGATAATAATCTCTTTACAAAAACTTAGCTTTCGCCATATAGTTTTTTCCCAAAGCAAATCCACATTTTGTGTTAACAAAAGCAGCCTCCAGTCTGTCGACCTCAAAGTACTCGGAAACAAAAACCGAAAGGAAAATAAAACAGGACAGATTCAAGTGCTTGGTGCTGCTTCTTTGGTGTCCGTTAACGGCAACTGCTCTGGATGGATGGTTGTGTCATTTTGTGGGAATTGCAAATTAGCGTGGATTGCGCACTTTACCAAAGCGACAACGAGAACGAAAACGAATAGGTTGGTAATATGGAAACGTGGCAACGGAAAGAGGAGTCAGAGTGGGCGACAAGTGGTAAGAAATCGGCCAGACAAACACAAACACAAACACGAACAGAAACAGAAGCAGAAGCAGACAGTGGGTGAGAAAACACTTGACTCGCGTGCTATACACCTGCACGAATGCGCCAGGTGTGGCATTAGCAGCTGTTGACACACATCTCATGGCGGCGCACAACATGTCGCATAAGTATTTTAATTAAGCATCAAGGGGACGCTCAAAAACACTGCCTCAAGTTGCACGCGACGAGTCGCGTTTTAATTAAGATCCACTAAACTAAGGCAGACATTTGAGGAGGCAGAGTGGCAAGTCTAACGGGGGGAGTGGACAGAACTTGAGATGCGCTGGGAAAACGGAAAGTTTCCATTTAAGCTAAACTCGCAACTGAAATTTAATTTACTTTGGCAAAAACTTGCGGCAGCAGCTGCGGCAACACCAGCGAAAAACCAGTCCGTCATATTTTTGTATGTATTACTCATACGCCCAGTGTGAGCGAGCGTGTGTGTGTGTGAGACCAGCCACAGTGACGGCATGGCAATAATGCTGGCCTGAAATATCAGTTACCACGCCCACGGCGACAGGTGGCGGCGGCAAAAACAAGAGCAACAACAGCGACAAGCACAGCTACATGCATAAATACAGGACCCAGGTCCGCCAGTTTGCAATCCTGCGTTGCGCTGAAACCCCCTAAAAATTGTGAGCATTTAAATGCCTTACAAAAATATAAATACACATGCAAAAAGAGGGGAACACGAGTGGATTGTTGAATTTCATAACTGCCTTAGCCCGCAGTTGCTATAAAATTGTATTTATTTGCAAAGTGATAAAAAATATGCCCCATGTGAAAGCGGAAGAAAAACACAAACAGCGACAGAAAAATATATGCAAATACATTTTTGTGCGTTTTGCTGAAACATGCTTGCAGAAATAAGCTGGTAATAACAATAAAGATACCCATAGGTAGAGAGCTTTGTAATATGCACCCAAAAGTTGTGGGTTTCGAAATAAATTGCACAGGATCAACGCTAGAGAATAATATAAAAATATTATCAGAAGCTTTAAAATAAGTCAATGTGTATTTGTATACCCTGAACCCATTGGCTGAAAAGGGTATAATGTATTGGTGCAAATGTATCTAACAGGCAGAAGGAAGCATTTCCGACCCCATAAAGAATATATATTCTTGTTCAGTATCGATCTAGTCATGTCCGCCTGTCTGCCCGTCCGTCCGGCTATTCGTCCGTATAAGAGCTAGAGACTTGAAATCTGGAACGTAGGTCCTCCTAATTCCCACGCAGTACGAGATTGCTTCCAATAATCGATAGCTTGCCCCGTGTTTAAGTAATCGAAATCCTGTTTTTTAAGCGAATCCCTTGGGTTTTTAGAGCTAGAGACATCAACTTTGAATAGTATTTATATATATAGTATCTTTCATTTCATCATTTCATTTTGGCAACGGAACTCCCGACTAGCCTCTTCCTTTGTTTGAGTATCATTCCGAATTCAAAAGGGAAAACAGCTTGATAGAAATTGTGTCAATATTAATAAGTTATTCCTTCAAGCTTCCTGTTTTTAAAAAATGACTGCCTGCTTGCGAATTGTTTCAAATATTAATTGTTCTATTATTAAATAGCTAAAGCTGATGTCCAAAAGCGAAACGATGATTTTGGGTGGCAAAAAATGATCAGATCAAAAAATGATTTCCTATTTATAATTTCTAGAATCAAGGGAAGAATCTAGTTAAAGCAACAGCAGCGAGCATGAAGCTACCAATACAAAGTCTTTTAGCTTTAGTTTTAATTTTGTTGTTTTGTGTTATGTAATATATAAAATGCTGCATTGCACATTTTGCATTGAAATTAACTATATTCGCATAAACAACTGCAATACGATACGAAAGCGGAATTAAAGTGTTGATTCACCACGAACAGATTTTTGTAAAAAAGCCTTGAGAAAATACATAAAAACAAATATAAATAAATTTTAAAAAAATTAGTTCGAAAAAATTTGAGAAAATACTTATCAGGTTCATAAATCAAACCTTGCGACAATTGTTTCAGCCTTATGGAATGTACAGGCATATTCATTATTCAAGTTTTCCCTATTCCTACGAATGTTCCGAAATTTAATTCACAAGTTTTCTTCTGGACGCACGAAAAACAAAAGAATAAATCGACTTTGCATTTTTAACTCAATGGAAAACATTAAGTTTAACGATTATGTATTCATTATTTTAGAATCAAATGCATGAAATACGTTCATAGTATGCATAGGTCATCTGATGACATTTTAGAGACGACGGCCACGACGACCGCCCTTTTTGCGCGTGGAGTCGGACGGAATGGGTGTCACATCCTCGATGCGACCGATTTTCATAGATGAGCGAGCCAGGGCACGCAGTGCGGATTGAGCGCCGGGTCCGGGTGTCTTGGTTCTGTTGCCGCCCGTAGCGCGCAATTTGATGTGCAGAGCCGTAATGCCAAGTGCCTTACACCTTTCGGCCACATCCTGGGCGGCCAGCATGGCGGCGTAGGGTGAAGACTCATCACGATCGGCCTTGACCTTCATGCCGCCAGTGACACGTGCGATAGTTTCGCGTCCGGACAGGTCGGTAACGTGGACAAACGTATCATTAAAACTGGCATAGATGTGGGCAACGCCAAAAACATTCTCGCCATCCCGCACCTGCGGTCCCAGCGACACCTGCACTTCCTCCTTCTGAACCTTAGCCTTCCTGGGCGCCATGCTACAGAAATTAAATGATTTTTTAGAAGAAGCGTATGTTAAAAATTTAATTTCTGCCTTACCGAATATTTTTTTTTCAAATTGAAATCTGCAATTGTGAAGTAAAAAGCTGTAGCACAGTTTGCTTAAGAAAACAAAATCCAACTAACAATCAACTCAACGCCAACTAAGTCGTTTGGCTTAAATGCGACAACAACGATACCTTTTTCAGCTTCTCAGTAAAAATACCCGACTACTTGAGATATGACATTTATATTTATCTTATTCTCGGCGATTTTCCCTTATCGCCGTCTGGAATTTCTTTGGTTTATTGTATTTTTACTGCAACTGCGAGTCAATCAAAGCAAAGAAGGAATCGATGAGTCCTGAAACCCGAGCTGCCATTCAATTGAGTTGTGGGCGTTTCTCGACTTTCTCGGAAACTTTGCCGGCGCCTCGCAGATGCCACGTTGTGTGCTCTAATATTACGTTTGGCTGCCACACGGCAGACGATTTCATTTAATAGTCGTACAGATTGTTCAGCATTTATGGATCAATTGCCAAGCAGCTCAACCAGAAACATTGGCAAGTGCAATTTATTGGGCTTGCGCTTGGGCAGAGGTAAACAACTGCATAAATTTGCATATGCAAGCAATTTAGAACAACTACAACACAGCAAATTAAATGCGTGTTATAATATAAATTGATGAGCCAGAAACCCAAGAAAGCACTGCTCATAGCTTCAATTAACACTTGACAACAAAATTTTCTCTGAAAAAAGCTAGCACAAGAATTGCCTGTCACAACTGTGATTTGAACTAATTTCATTGGACATCTCTATTATTTTTAGTTAAAAAAAAAATAATTAAATAATAATTTTAGTATACTTCCATTCAATTATTTCAATAAAACTCAAACAAAAGTTTCAGAACTTTTAAGGTTAATTATTTTACAACGCTATCAATCAAAAACCGTTCCGCTCAAGTTATATATTTATGTATTCATTTAACCTCAAAGTTGTTCAGCTTAAATATAATTTGTCGATTTTGTTAGTTAGTGAAAACATGAAAGCAACAAAATTCGGACAATTTAGCTATTAATGTCATCATTTAAACAAGACTTGCTCGCAATTCAATGGAAAACCTGAGATCAAAGGCCTTATTTATCTTAATAAGCGAAGCACGACAAGCGATTCCCGCAGGTCGTATACGCAATGTTTTATTCAAATCGATTTTTGAGCTTATAAATATTGATGCATACAATTTTAATTTACTGTGTTAAATACTTCATTCTAGTGTATTTAATTTATTATACCTTTGCAAAATAAGGTGGAACGCATTGAGGAAGTCGTTTTGTTGCTCCCAATATCTTATGCCTTTTAAACAAACATATATTTTTGAGATAGCTAATAATATTTGGCCACTTGCATAATTATGTTATAAACATCTGTTTTAATTAATATTGGAATATATAAATTACATAAAGGTTGCCATATACTTACAATGTGTGCATTAAGTAGTTAAAGTATCGAACCTTAGTCTGAAGAGAGGGGTATTTTTTACTCAGGCGAGAAAGTCAATATAACAGGAAAAAATTGTCAAAACATAGTTCTTACCAGCGGTTTAATAAATAAACTCGATTAAACAAAGAAAAAAACTCAAGAAAATGTATGTATATAACGCCAGCCACACAAGTCATAAATACTTGTTAGCAAGGTCAAGGCTTAACATGCACATTGATAGTACTTTAATCTAATATTCAAAAGTCTACTGAAACCGTACTTTATTATAAGCATGAAAGTATTTCTACGTGCCACCATAGGATAAGACGTGCCGCTTAAGGAGCATGAAACCGCGAGTACGAAGCGAATTAATGCGACTGTTTGTGCGTACTTGGAAGCCAGTTCGTGTAAGACGTGCATATTGGGAAAATGGATATACGAATTATAACATAATAAGCAAACAAATTCCACTGCAGTTGTGCCACACGCTGTGCCCCATACAGCGGCAACTTCATCATTGTGCCATAAACGTTGCCCCAACACACATTTTACACGAACTCTCTCCGTATATATATATTTTTATATATATATCTCCGGCTGTTGGCGTAACTACTCTATGGCTGTTTCGGGCTGTAACGGGTGGAAACTATCTAAGATTATGCGAAATGGCTGCACATTCTACATGTGGCGCAACCAAACGTTGCACAAACCTTTCGAATATTTTTGTTATGCATACGCAAGCAAGCAACAGCAGGAGCGGATGCAGCAGCTGTAGCTGAGGAATTCAAATAAAAATTGTTGCTTTTAAATGGCGTGTCAGAGGTCACAGATGAGCTCTGTGCCATGGCGAGCAGCTTTTAAGTGTCAACCAAAAGGGCAATTCAGTTCAAGTGGAGCACAAAGAGTAAGCTTAACAGGTGGTCAGTCATTGCAAAAGGATATATGGTTATATATATACATCTTATCAGTGCTTAGGATAAAAACTTAAAGCATGATGTATTTTATTCAGGAATTCTAAATCGGTACACAGTTTCCCACTTAAAATTTGTCTATTAAGCTGCTGTTTAGTCGAAGCCCCTGCCAATTTGTTTATGTAAAAATTGTTACCCCAGGGGAATGTTTGTGCGGATGCAGCCATTAGATCTGTGCAACATGCTACAAGCTAGCCAAACTTGTTGCCATTGTAATCTGCATAAATCCCCGTTAAAGCTGTTGCAATACGCGACAATATGCGGACTTGCAGGACGAAGCATCTGGCAACAGACATTGTCCCTGTCGTTAGCCCTCGTCACGGCCAGGCGAGAGCTTCAGCTCCGCAAAGCGGCTGTCACGGCAAATATATCAGCAAACTGACAAACGTAAAAAAAAAATGAAAATGAAAGAAAATAGGAAAAGAAATTGTTGCTTTTGCAGCCAAACTATTGAGGGAGATTTTCCTCAACTACTCACTTACCTGAGCCGCAGCATAAGACCTGTGCGTCTTGACTATGACTGAGTGCTTGCGTGAGTGCATGTGAATTGACAGCTGTAATACTCGAGTACTCGAATACTTGAACAAGTTGCTGGATTCACAAGGCTTTCGTATTTATTTTTGCTAGCACGGAATATTTGATCTTTAATGTGCATGGATTTTAGCAAATTTACAATAAATATTTATGGACAAATAAGTAAAAACCTTTAAGGAAGATCGCAAATAAATGCAAACCTAGTCAAAGACTTACAAAGCGCTGAATTTTAAGCAAAATTTACCTTTAAATATATCATAAAAAAGCTAAAAGCTCATAAAAGCTTCTAGAAAGGGCAAAAGGCATAGTTTAAATTGAAGACTAAGGCACGACAGAAATACTCCACTAATAAAAACAAGTGGACAAAAAGGACCCAACTTGCTTCACATGCTATAGACCCGATCCGGATATCGCCCCCTCGAGGCTCAATCCATCCGGCGGCAGCTCCACTTCTGGCATTAAAAAGGCGGCTACGCAAGGAGCACGTGCGCAAGAGTAAGCAGGATATATAGAAGGATATCCAACAGGCTCCAGAAAGTCCTCGGGGCTATAAGCAACCAGCAGTTCAGCAGAAAACTTATGGACGCAAGCCCAGATGCTAGCACGGGATACAGCCTCTGGCAGCTGACAAAAAGCTTTAAAAGACAGCCCGTCCGCAAGAGTCCCATAAAAAGAGAGGATGGTTCCTGGGCCAGATCGAGCTTAGAACGCGCTGAAACTTTCGCCACGCACCTAAAGGAGCGATTTAAACCGTTCGATTCCCCCCACTCGCTCCATGAAGAATACATAGACAGGACCCTTGAAGCACCACAACAACCTGATCTGACCACTCTCCAGGTGACCCTCAAAGAGGTCGAAACACAAATCCAAGCGCTTAAGATTCGTAAAGCCCCTGGATCTGATGAACTGGACAGCAGAACAATAAAGCTGCTCCCCACCAAAGGCATACTCTTCGTTGTGCTCTTATATAATACAATGCTTCGAATCGGACACTTCCCAAGGCAATGGAAAAGCGCTCTGATTGCCATGATTCCAAAACCCAAAAAATCGCTCACGCAAGTCGAATCTTATCGACCAATCAGCCTGCTTCCGACCCCCTCCAAAATATTCGAAAGAATATTAATGGCCAGAGTGTCGGAGCTGGATTGTGTTAAGCGCATCATACCAAGGCATCAGTTCGGATTTCGAAGACGGCATGGGACACCGGAGAAGCTCCACCGAGTGGTGGATTTCATCCTCGACAGCTTCGAGAACCTCGAGTATTGCGTCGTATTTGTTGACATCAAACAAGCGTTTGACCGAGTGTGGCACAAAGGACTCCTGTTCAAAATAAAAACTTTGCTTCCCCCCCTCTCTTTTTCATATAATCCACAGCTTCCTCAAAAACAGAAAGTTTGTAGTGGTAGTCGACGGCACGTTCTCTGCAGTCAAGGAAATCCAAGTTGGAGTCCCCCAGGGCAGTGTCCTTGCTCCGTGGCTCTACACTGTTTATACAGCCGACATGCCGACGGTGGACCCGACGACACTGGAGCATCCCGATAGCTTCAACCTCGCCACGTTCGCCGACGATACAGCAATCCTCTCAAAAACCAGCTGTGTTTACCAAGCCACTGACCAACTACAAGAATACCTGCACGAGGTTGAGACGTGGGCATCAAAGTGGCGAATTGCCATCAACAGGCAAAAATCGATATGCTGCACATTCGCGATCCGGAGAGATACCTCGCCAGGAGTATTCCTCCAAGGCGAACTTCTTGATCATAAAGACGGCCATCGCTACCTGGGAGTCTACCTTGATCGCAGGCTCACTTGGAGCAAACACATCGCAACAACATGCCACTGCGTACGTCAATAACTAAAAAGTATGGCTTGGCTCCTTAAGGCAAGCAGCAAGCTTTCTCTGAGCAATAAGGTGCTGCTCTATAAAACCCTCCTGGCCCCAGTCTGGCGCTATGCAAGCCAAATTTTCGGCACGGCAGCAAAATCTCACTTGAGGAAAATAAGTGTCTTCCAAGCGAAGGGACTCAGACTGAGTGCTGGGGCTCCCTGGTACATCCGCAACCGGATGAAAATAATAATAATCATACTAAAAATATAAGATAAATTGAATAATTATAAAACTTAATAGGTAATATTAAGTATGTTTATCACATTATAGTCAAGCTAGGTTAAGATGCTCATGTATAGTATCAATAAATTAGCTAATAAAGAGAAAAAAAAAAGGACAAAAAGGCAACTTATTGTTAAAAGCTTTAAAGTTTTTCGCAGCTTGATTTTTATTCTCTAGCTGAGAAAAAAACACATTTTCTTGCCTTGGGCATATTAGGAAAATTTCATAACAAATTCCATTTAAAATTAATAATAATAAAATCTTTTAAATATCTGAAAATTATATTAACAGTTGTGTATGCTGTGTTTGTGTGTAATACTTGTAATGGCATTTTGATTAACTTATGAGATTCGTAGCACGTGCGAAAAGGACTTCCTAATTGTCTAAAAATGTAATTTGTCTGCAAATTGAATCAACTGTGTGTGGAATAGTGCATTTGGCACCTAGACTCACAAGGGTACTCAGTTTAGTACGGAATGAACTTGAAAGTGCAAAGTTGAAACAGGGAAACAGGAAGTGTGTATACACCCCCACACACTAACACACACACACAGATACCCATATACAACTAGCATGCAGCAGCTGAAAGCGGCAACAAAATGTTTACAGTGACTTGAAAGACTTTGCCGGAGGGCCAAAATGCAGAGTGCAAAGTGTGTATAAATAAATCAAAGTTTATTTAGTGACAGATACTTTGTGAGCATGGGCATATGTGTGTGTGTGTGTGTGCGTGTGTGCGTGTGCCTGGATGTGTGTGCTGTCAATGGCATAGCGAGCGACTTTGATTTGCAGTGCAGTGCAAATTTCCGCAAGCCAAATGAGAAAAATGAGCTTTGTACTCGAACTGCATGTATTACGGGGAAAAAGAAAGCATAGAGCGGGCGGTAGGAAATATTATGAATGCGCAATCATACGGCTGACAGGGGCACAGGATAAGAGCAACAACAACAACAACAACAGCTGCTCAGGTGACAAACACACAGAAAGACACACATTGAACTACGGACGAGGCCGTCTCACAATGCAAGTTGCCAGCGGATATGAAAAACTATTTTACAGCTGCTTTTGTGGCCACCACTATTTGTCTCTCCCTGTCTATGTGTGTGTGTGTGTGTGTATATATGTGTGTGTTAGAGTTCGTGTGTGTATTTGTCTGCGAGTGTGTGTGTGTATGTGTCTGTGAGTGTGTGTTTGGCTTTTCACATAAGCACATGAGTACCTCGTCGTGTATATGTATTGCCCAGTGGAGCCTTTTTATGCTCCCTGTCTGCCTTTTAAGGCGCCATTCAGCAAAGTTTTCTCAATTTTATTGCTGTGCTGCTGCCTTTTGTTTTTAATTTATGATCCCTGCCTTTTCTCTACTTGATATAAAATATTTTTTACCACATGCCCCGTCGCTGAACTGATTGCCATGGGCCAATTACTGCCTTAACTGGGCTTTAATTAAAGTTTGTATGCGCAAAAATATAAGAAACTTTTTGATTTTTAACTATTCATGTTTTTATATTCGCTTGTTGCAAACACAGTTTTTACTTATATCCAAAATAAAGAGGCGTCGTAATGTATCCTTAGGGGATTCAAGCAAAAAATACGAATAAACCTTTGTTGTAAATTTAAATTTTATAATTCTACAGGTTGAGTAGTCATAAGCAGCACAGCTTTTTAAAAACTTTAACTTTCTATAGCAAACAAATGCAGAAAACCCTCTCTTTATAAATTGTTGAATCATATTTTTCAAACACAGTTGTTGCACTGCAGCAGTTGCAGCTAAGGACAACCTGCTCCTGAAAATAGAAAGTTCTGCAATACCAAGAACATGCTGAACACATGGCTCCTATGCCGACTGTCTAAAGGGGGTAACTGTTATGCATTAATGTTGTTAACACGTGTTCAAATCGTAGGAGCATAAAGTTAAAGTAGTTCTGAATATCCTTTATGGCTTTGCATGTCCCAGCTCCATTGCTATGCAAGGTTTTGATAAATTGCTTCCAGCTCAGCTCAGTGGGAGGCACTGTGCCCAAGAGCTAGTGATTGTGTATGTGCGTATGTGGCTGTCTGTGTATGTGTGTGTATGTGTGGGTTGCACTGGTTTTTGCATAGAATAACGTACATATGTGCCATCTATACACCATGCTTTGAGCCTTCAATTTAGCCAGCACGAGACACGAAACCCATCTTTGTCTTTTGCGATTCCTGTATTTTCGGAGAGCCTCTGAGGTCTTTAAGCAACGAAACTTGATTTCAATTAATTCGAAAATTGTTTGGGACCCCTTTATAAAAGTATTTTAGACAATTATCAGTACAAGTTTAAATGATTGGGTGCAATTATAATATAAAAAGCAAGCATAATACACTTGTATAATATATATATTCTAGAGAATGCTATAACAATTAAATACAAATCAATTTTCAGAATCAAATAGCAGAAC